CCAGATTCATTGAAAGGGCATTAAACAGACAGATGGGGCTTTTAAGTTTGCTTAAAATATAGTGCAGATTCTAATATTCTGTGGGACTCTGGAAAATCTGAAGGAGCACAGGTTTGGGCTTGTGTTTTGCGACAATTCTTGACTCTCGAAGCAAAGTCGACACAAGATCCTCTCCTGCTATTCAACAAATTGAATTAGTTTGATATCTCATTATAAATTATGGCGTCACTTTACTCAATAGGCCTGCAGTGACGATTTTCAGTGTTCACACACACGTAATTGGTCTCCATAATTTATTTCAAAAAGCTGACAAAGTGCACACAAACAAACTATAGGCTCTGTAAGATTTGAGGTTTTCACGGCGGTGACTATGAAGAAAGCAGTCTTCTGGGATGTGGAACCGTGTAGATTGGTTTTAACCTACGTTTCGGAGGAACGTATCGCCTCCATCTTCAGGGTAGAAGGAAAAATAAGAAATCCGCAAGCGAAGAGACCGTGAGAACCGGTACAAGCAGACTGAAGATGGAGGCGATATGTTCCTCCGAAACGTCCGTTAACACCACATCTACACGGTGCCACATCCCAGAAGACTGCTTTCTTCAAACTATAGGCTTTTTTCACTTCCGTGAACTTTGTGCACGACATTTCCGGTAGACGTTACATGATTTACACAATACACCGTATCCTGTTCATATTCGGTTTGTTGATTCACTGAGGAGTGGCAAATGAGCGTGAAGTATGTCGCCATTGAGGGGAAATATAATTTATACTTATATAAGATTATTTGGATGTATTACTTTCAACAATGCATTGTATTCGCAGGTCATTCAAATAGTTCTAACGTTAACTTAGATGCTCAGCCCCGAAGGTTTCGAAATGTACACACGTTTGTGAAAATAATATTTAAAAGTCTGTGAGGGAGAAACGTCTATGGCAACCGAAATAAGGTTGTCCTGCGGTCTCAGGGTTGGGCCATGCTCTCTCTGACAGAACAAAACATGAAGATGCCTGTAAGTAACCTACCCGGAAATATGAGAGTTTGTGACTTGGATCCCTTTGTCCCAGAACGCTTCAATTTATGAATCTTATTTGTATGTACGTTTCAACACATTATGGAATAATGTATAATGATTTTCATGATTTCATATACAGTTATAACAGAAGGCAAGCATCATTAAAGTAAAGTTGACTCTGTGCTCAATTCATTAAGCATTACGCCATGAAGATGCACGAGAAAGCACACCACCAATGTACTCTAAAAATTATCTGAAAGTGAAAAGTGCATTACATGCATGATAAAGAATTTTGAACATTATGAAAATTCTTACTCTTTCATAAATTGGAAGTTTATTTTTTCATTCATTTCGCGAACCAAATACACAAAACTACTGATTCCGTACATGAAACAGCAGCCAGGAGTTTCCAATTTATGATGGAGGTTTACTAAAAGTTATCCAAAGTCTCCCTAAAATTTTAGAATTGCGATGAGCCATTCAACAATTCACAGAGTCTGTCACATTTCTAGGGAATTTATTGATTCAAATTTATCATGAAAGAGGACTCGTCAGAAAACATACCCTGGAAACTTTGCAGGAAAAAACATATCAAACAATTATATTTATTATAATTTAATGTAATTTAGAATGACTAACAGATGTGAAATTTATAAAGAAACTTCAAAACACACTCAATAAAATGACCCCATTACCTCACTAACTGGCATGTGCCATAGAGAAAAGTAAAATCCATTAGTGAAGTGATATTGGCCTGAAAGAGTTAAATACTGTAACATTTGCCCTAATTAAGTTTTGATACATGCCTAAATGTTGCATTTAACTCATAAACTCCAAACATTTGTTGACCATTGAACTCAGACGAACTGAAGAAACACAGACTGAAGATCGGCGAAACAAATGAGATTCATCGCTTACTCCTGTAACCGGAATGACAAAATAACGACTTTAATTTGTATTACCAATTTTCGGTAATCGTTCAAGAAAATATAAGATTAGCAATAACTACTATTTTCACGTCAAGTTAGAGACAGAAGAAAACAGTTTATAAATAAGAATAAAGTTAAGGAAAAGAATCCTTAGTGTCAAAAGACAAGCCACGTGCGCCACTAACACATTTCCTCCGGCCCCCTCTCCCCATTTTCCAATTTTCGGCTGCTTGTACAGCTGTTCGAGACACACCAGAAGATGTTTCACAGTATGCTTAGTGTCGCAGCTTCCATCCTTTTCTTATGCATTCGTTTCATTAAGTTGGCCTCGGTATGGACTTACAAAGTAAATAAAATATCCATTAGTGGAAGATGCAAAGTCTGTCGCTTGTCAATCACAAGGGGTAGTCAGAACCTCAGGTTGAAACCAACGTGACTCTTCTACAGTGCCAAATGTTTCATTCCCAGAGCAAAGGGAGTTTCTTTGTAAATTTGATATATTTATTTGTTAAAACCATAAAAATAATCCAGTGAGACCGGTTCAGAAGTGAAATTAATCCATGTCCGCACTTAGTCTCCTCCCTCCCCACGAACAGCAACCTCCCCCTCTCCCTTGGAAGGTGATAGTCAATGAAAAGACATTTTCTGCCATTTTTTTTTGCGGTCCCTAGATCTCAGGTATGGTTTTCTGCAGATCCAGGAAATGGAAAAAACAATGGTTTTATTTTAAATCATTTACGTGTTGGCTCTCATATAGGAAACCAGTTTATGTTTCATATTTACGTGGTAAGGAATTCTTATGTTGCTGAAAGCAAGGATTGTGGGGGCCTTTGTTTTAATTGCAGGGAGGCTGTGGGACTGATTTTCTCAAGTGCCAAATAAACAGAGATGAGAATCTTGATCGCTTTAAGTGACATCTATAGCCAAGAATATGTCCTTGTACTTTATCCATCAATTTAGGTGTTTTTATGAAAACCACGTTTCGGAAATGAATTATGTTTCCATCTTCATATAGAAAGGTATTAAAAATTCCTTAAACGTGGAGATAAATAATTATTAGCATGGAAATAGTGAAAGAATTAAATAGTAAAAGAGCTTATCAATCCTTTTTGGGGCTCAAGACCACATTTCTTGTGACCTGACCATAGAACAAAGCCAGTTCCAGAACTTCATTCCTGAAGACAGAGTCTGTATATTCCTTCGAAATGTAGATATCCACCTTCAAAAATACATGCTGTCACAACCCTGAAACCCACAGTCTGAATCGAAATGATTAAACACTTATATGCAAGTGTTTTGCAGTATGCTGAGAATAGGAGTTCCCTTAGCTCTGGTTATGGCCTGCCACTGGCTTCCTTTTAATAATGTACCAGGCAGTTGGTACTCCCTCTTGAGCATCACTAAGGGCAGAGTAATGTGGGCAACTTTAATGTTTTAAGGGTTCCTGCTTAAGTATATTAACAATGCTCACAATTCTTGATGAACGGTCTCTCACAAAGCATTGTTGATCACATTTCATTAACCGCGCATACATTAAAATTTTAGTACAAAATTTTTACTATTACCTGAAGAATTTAATGTGTAGCGAAAAGTTTCAGGCCTGGATAGTTTCTCATTGTAACTAATATGTCAAGTCTTTCATTAATTCCTTTGAAAATATTGTTTAAATTTATGATTGAGATTAATATTCTTTTCTTGGCTTCGGTTATTTACCTAGCAAACATAATTCTCTGGATACGACCAGGCCTCGTGGAATACATTTCATTTTAAACGCTGTGATTTTATGTGCAAGACGACAAGAGGCAGATATGCTCTCCATAAAAGACTGGTAACCGGCTTGAATTCCAGTGTAACGAAACTACGAATTACTTTTCTGTGAAGTTACAATACTTTTTAGCATGTAGGTACAACTTGTGTTATTTTAACCGTAACATTTATTATATTTGTTCAGTGAATACAAGGTCCACGAAATACAAATAATATACATAAACTATGGTAAGTCTGGGAGAGAAATTAATATGGGCGAAAAAAATGCTGACTGGCGCATCTCGTCGAGTCGGTCGTAGTTTTGGTACTTCAGGTTTTCTTATATTATATCATTTATCGTCTGAATACACCCCCGCCCCGCACGAATCCAAATTGAAGGAATTCAGGAACATTTTAAGGTTGATAATCTCTGACAACAAACAGGACGAGATATTTTATCAACCCAAATCATGAAAAATATTTCAAGATGTAGAACAATTACGAGAAATTAAAAATTAAATATATTTTCAATTAAATATATCTAAAAGAAAAGCGGAAGACAAAAAATCCCTACACCGTTTATGCACACAGATCACACGACATGTTCCTGAATTCTTCTTAGCTTCGTCCCAGCTCAGGCTTCACTTCATGAACAATACAATAAAAAGTGAGCTAACTCCATTTCACTTTAGGTCGACATGACTATTGCAATAAGACTTGAAGTCGACCTTAATGTAATATGTAGGTAGAACTTCACTGTGATCAAAGAATCGACTCAGTAAGAAAGAACAGGGTTGGGCTTCGTAGAAATGCTCACCTCACCGAATTAGGGACGAGCGAAGTGTATGTCATTACCACAGTGACACTGCAGGTTGCCACAGTGTTTGATTTGTAGAACCGATTGGTTTCTGTAGCTGATTGCACGAGGAACGCAGGTGTGTCTGCTTGGGCTCCTGGTAGGCGTAATCTGAATCGGTTCTTATGAACAGATGGAAATCAGATTAAAATGATCGTAACTTTATATCTCATTGTTTGGGAGGGTAAGAATTTCAAGTATAAAATATTTTAAATTTACGAGTTATAATGAAGCACTTAAATAAATGTGTGTTAATTGAGGAATAATTTTAAATTAACAGAGATCAATTAAAGGAAAGGAACTTTCTTTCTTTCTAAATCTGCTCCTCTTATTCCTTTACGTTGTCGAGGTAAGTAAACTTTATTCTCTCTTAATCTAAGATAGTAGGTAAGATTCCTTGGACGGGGGATCGGCCCGTCGCAAGACCGATAACACAAACATAATAAATATGAACGCAAACAAATATCCATGCCTTAAGTGGGATTCGAACCCACGATCCCAGAGTCAGAGCGAGCGAAGACTGTTCATGTCTTTACCCGCGCGGCCACAGCGATTGGCGGAAAGAGATAAACAGAATTGAAATCTTTGAAACTTTGGTTTTACGGCGGTCCTTATTCATGGTAGAATTTTTCGGTACAGCATTTTGTCGAATTAGTTTCGGATGTATCTGTTAATTTCGAGTTCAAATGACTCAGAAGCAAATTTATAAGGTTTTTTAACTGTACGACGCTATGTTATGTTCATAAGACCCTACACTGAATAAATTGTAAACGTTGACATGAAGACTTCTGTGGGCCAGTAAGATCTGTATGCATCCTAATGAGCAGATTCTTGGTGTCATCTCTCCATGACATGAGAGTAAGAAGTGAAGCCTAACTGTGAGAAGCCTGTAATCCTCCCACCCCATTATGACATGATCACAGCCTCCAGGGCAGGAGGGTGGCAGGCGGCGGTGCGGGGGGTAGTTCTCAGTAGGCCGTGGCAGCTCCCGCGCTATGATGATGGTGATGTACCATGTGGTGATGATTTAGGTGATTTAAATGGTTCAAATGATTTAGATGGTTAACGGGTGAATGTTCGTTACTTGGCGGTGTTGGCATTCCTGTGGCACTTTGACACACATACCACTCAGATAGGTTAGTCGTCCCGGGGGCAGATTGTTGGTGGGATATTGAGGAGCTCAGGGGGTTGTGTTGTTGGTGGATGGACGAGGCAGTATTGCCTGATGGAGGGTTGTTGGCGTGATGGTGGTGGTGATGGTGATGGTTGTGCTGATCTGGGGAGGTGGTGCCTGCGCCTGCAGACCCGCCACCTGTCGCCGAGACGCTGATGGACGCTGCTGAAGAGCTGTTGGAGTCGCTTCCGTCACTATCATAGCCAGGGGGAGGGCTTTTGCCGGCAGAACCGGCCCCACAGCCGTGCACTTTCATGTGCTTCCGCAGAGAACTGGGATGTGTGTAGCTCTTGTCGCACCCCGAAACCCTGCAGTTGTATGGCTTGTCCGATGTGTGAACGTGTGAATGCTTCTTCCGGTCTGAACTGTTTGCGAACCGCCGGTCGCAGCCTTCGAATTCACACTTGAACGGTTTCTCGCCTGCAACAGAAACAAGTCATTGCCATCACTGATTCATCATCGGTTACTCAATGACTCTCTTCATGCTTTGCTTGCCAGGAAACAACATAAAACTTCATGACGCCTCTCTCACAAAGTCAGCAGTACTGATTGTTAAGGGCTGTTCCGTCTGTTAACTCAACATCTTAGCCAGAAACATAACAACAGATAAAGTTGCGGTCGAGTGAACAGTACTCCTGCTTCATATTGGGGACCACGTGGGTTCAAATCTCGGCTCGGATACAGGCTATTCTGTATTACGGTGTTCGTGAATTTCCTGAGCCCCTCTTGGAATAAGCAATCATAGTAATCTATCGTAAATTAGGCCACACCATTTCCTTCCAGATACACACCAATTCACTATTCACTAATTAGTCTACCAATCTGATGCTACACAATATGAGCAACTGAAAGAGAATTTGAATAAACTGAAATTTCCTACATATTACCCCCGCAAATTATATAAAATGAAAGCATAAGAGAGAGGTCGTGTCTGACCACGTATCTAGAAATCCGTTCTTCCTCGTGCTAAATTTGCGTAGCTACTGGATGCTGTTCCATTAACGTAATTCCGAGTTCTACAAACCCATTGTCTAGCACTGAACTCAGATCTAGTTTTGTCTGAAACGCGGCTGATCTTACAAAGGAAAGCGTAAAATATTAAATTCAAGTTTCATTTACGATCTACATTTTCATTTCAAATATTTATCGATATAGTGAATAAGTAAACTCTGTGGCCTGTAGTCCGCAAGCGAACTATACCGACCTAGCGATTGCCGCTTGTCGGCGAAGTTAGCGCCAATTTTTGCGTGGTCAGCGCAACGGATCCCGACGGCCGTTAATCTCGGTTTTCTAGATCGGGGTCGCTATTTCCTTGAAAGAGCTCCTCAATTACCCTTACGAGGCTGAGTGCATCCCGTTTCAGACCGACTACTCAGAAAAATCTGGTAGCGTCGAGAAACGATCCCGGACCTCTTGATCTGTAGCCAGGAACTCTCACCACTAGACCACAGAGGCGGTCCGATATGGTGAATATTGAACATAATATTTTACATTTAGTATGCAGTGTGTAACATCCGTGGTGAGATTAGCTTCGTTACATTGCCATTGTTTCTGCAATAAATCAGTATTAAATTCAGTGCACCACACAAGATAACAAAGGTATATTTGGAAAAAAAAAAATCTCTCTTGTTCAGACTGTATCGGATGATGAATGAAGAATGTTAAACTTAGGATCGTGATTTGATTTCGTATTATAACCTGCTAAAGATCTAAATGCGTGTTCGTAAAGTGACTGAGGAGTACCGCAGAACTAATCAAGATAGCCGCTCGCCTTGTCTAGATTAGTTTTCCAAAAAGAAGTTGGAGTGACAGTCAATAATTGCGACATTCGATATCCTCGACGTCCTGAACATATGTGGACCAGCAGAGAAAATCTTGGGAGATATAGGCAATGATTTACGTGAGCTGAAACTTGAAAGATGGATGCAAACGGCAACTGACAGACAAGATCTGACATACTTCGTAAAGAGGACAAGGTTCTTAGAGGACAATAGACCCAATGATTAAATAAGAAAGAGCCTTAGGCCTAATTTACAGTTGTTTGGTGGACTTCGTTAAACGAGTGTCAATTGCAGAGATTACTTAACGGACATATCTTAAGCTGCTGCACTACACTTATCATCAAAATTGCATTTATGTTACATTTGATAGAGAGAGCGTCTATTTAGTTTTTATCTCAGACATTTCAGACTCTCACGGTGGCCCCATAGGGCTGAAACACGTGGAGCATATTCTATGAAATAAGCAGTTTCCAACTACATGTTATACTTCTCATTATTTCTTTGCCTGTTTTATTACTTGCCTCAGTCGGTATAGCGATTAGGCTACGGGCTGGACGGCCGAGGAGTTGGGGTTCGTTTCCCGGTAAGGGAAAGAAATGTTTCTATTCATCATAACACCCAGAACGATTCTTGGGCCCGCCCAGCCTCTTACACAATGGGAATGCGAGAGGTTATCCTGGGGAAAAAGAAGCAGGGACGTGAAGCTAACTTCTCACTTCCATCTAGTGCTAAGGCTAAGAATGGTGGAGCTATACCTCCACTCTCCGTAAGTCTTCATTGCATAGTGCTTAATTATTGAAAGACCAGGGGTAAATTTACTCTACTTTAACATTAGTTACAACCGTCGTGACATATCCCGATTTTAGAGGGTTTTAAAGATAATTAATTAAATATTAACGCACTTTACTTGTTTATTCTATATTTAATTTCATTTGATGCACCCGCTGCATAACTCTGCAAAGGAGTTAACTTGTCCCAGCGTCTCGTCTAATCGTTGCCACACGCCCTTGCCTTGATTGGCCCTCAAGCTCTTTTGTTGTTGCTTCAGAAGAATTGAAAGTATGAAGTTGTCCATAGCCTGGCTTATTTGCATCGTTTGGATATAGCGGTGAGACCAAATGGTAAATTTGGCGTGTGTTCGGAAACAATATAGACTATTTCAAAGTGGTGATTTAATCTCCGCTCCTATTGATGCGAACAACATTGCTCAGTTTTACTCTCGTACATGTTTTCTTTGGATATTTTTTCATCTTTTACCCTTGCAAAGCAGCTCTCCTAATATGGTGGTCAAGTGGCGCCTCTGTCGAACTTCTCGTGAACTCGTTGCAATTGGCGAGGAGCGGAAACATGGTTAAGCATGCTTGATATAACAGGCACATCTACACTCCCGTAATGATATCTGTAAAGCTAAGTAGAGCTAGCGCTAAAATCACAGACTCAAATATTTTATTTCTGAGTGGGTCATGAAAAGAATTAAGGGTACAGAATAAATAGCGAATTAGGAAAGATCAAAATTCGAAAAGTTTTATGAGGTTGTATCATGCTTGTGATTAGAAAACACGCTGTATTTCTAATTAGGAATTAACCATAAGCGTGCGACTGTTTGTTAAGGAAAACGAACCTTGCCTAATCCTGTTTTGTGATGCCTCCCCCTCTGTTGCTGTTGTCGTTATTAACTGAGCGAAGCATCCTCAACTATGAAAGAGCGATGCAACGTCATCCTCTATTTAAGCGGCTCTTTTCTCCATTTGGAAAGTATGGTTCTGTACAGTCGCTTCGAATTAATATGATGGTCTCACATTATATTTTCTAAAATTTTTAAGTATGCTCTAAATTGACCGATATTATAGTCAATCAACACATGGAGTTGAGCCTTTTAGCATCATTTAAAGGAGTAAAGTCAAAGTGGCTTAATTTTCCTGAGATTTGAAAGAGATTTCCATTCACACTTCTAATATATAGACATACACATATTTTCTCACACAATGCGCGACATTTTTAAGATATTAATAAAACATAAGCAGATATTGAAAGAAGCATATTGAGAAGTAAGTGATTTGGACGTAAGAGAAGAGAAGAAAGCTGCACGAGACACTTCATAGTCTGTTAATGATATATGCGTGATTAAATGAAAAGGACAAAATTGGGGGGATATAATTAAAATGATAAATTTATTCAAATTCTTTGTCAAAAAAAAATAAGCGAAGGAACCACATGAGACGTCGAGACATAGAGAGAGGTTACGTTCACGATTTAAGGGTGACTATAGACGGGGTATGGATTGGTGAATGGATTGACCACTTATACAGACCACTAGGGACTACAAGCACTTACAACACTATCGCTGAAAAAATCACTACATATTAAATTTTCTCAGTCTGTTTTCGCTAGTAGTTTCCTGGTAACGAATTTTATTAGTGGGAAGTCTTCAAATTCTGTGTTCACGTTGTTACTGTCCGGCGAATACCCCACAACTGAACTGTCAAGTGAACTGTAGCGCCATTTCTTCTGAGCCTCCTTGCAGAGCCCAGCTCTCAACTGACAACTGACTAACTCCCAGGCTGGCGGCCATTTCACACCAATATTCTAACCTTTTCTTCAGAGACTGACTTTCAACTAACTACTAACTGGATTGCCCCATTGTTTTCAAGATAACTTCTCGGTAGGGACCGTTTCAGCTGCGTAACAACGGGAACATGTTTACGGAGCCGTTACCCAGAAACGGGCTTATGTATTCTCACATTTCTCGCTCACTGTATTGCAACGGCTGGGACCGCGTCATAGCTCAAGCGGTTAGTCGCTGGCTTCCCACCGCGGCGGCCGGGTTCGATCCCGGGTCCGGTCAAGTGGGATTTATGGTGGACAAAATGGCGCTGGGGCAGGTTTTCTCCGAGTACTTTGGTTTCCCCTGCCACCAATTCCACCAATTTCTCCATAATCACCCTCACCTGTCATCTGGAGCTGGTACAATAGGCCAGAAGTGGCCGCAGTACAAGGGACTTAGCCCCACCCCACTAGCAATAAAAAAAATACAACGGCTGTACGTGCATCGTATATGCTACAATAATATTAAAATGGAATATCCTGTTAGAGAAATACGGTGTGAGGGGCTGAAATTATTCAACTGGTTTAGAGGCTCATAGGGCCTAATAGAATGTTAATGTAGGCAAGCTAATGATACTTACAGATCATGAGTAACCTGAATTCATTTAACAAGTGTGGGGGTGTTAAATATAAACGTGAAGCGCAAAAATTTTATTTAACATTGACTGCGAAATAATAATTAGTTTCACGAAAATAGAATATTCCGCAATTTCTTTCTCTACGACAGCAAGGAATGTTTATAATTTATTCTAAAACTGTCATTGGACATGATTCTGGCCCACTTCTGCCAACCTTACACGAACAAAACCCATCCCCATCAGTATTAAGAGAGCCTATATATAGACATTCTCTGTAAACGCCTTCCCAACGCCAGGTGTAAGCAAACTTACTGAACTTCCCCCCTTCTTCTCCTTCTTAAGCACTCGAGTATTACTCATTGTCACTGGCGTCTTTTCATAAGTCTTTGAACTCCAGATTCTGTCGGCTAAACTGATATAAAAGAAAATCACTCAGAGTGAGTTAAGCATGGAGACC